AGTGTGATCCATATTGTCCGTGCTGTGGAGAAGCTTCTTGGCCATCTGTACGTCACTGTGTGACGGAGTGTGCCGCCTTCGCGGATTTCAGAGAGCAGCTGACCGACTTCTATGGTGTGCCCGCGAGCTGGTGGACCTCACAACCGAGAATTACCTCGAGTTCTGGATGGATCACGTACGGGGCGCACCGTGTGGCGGAGCGCAGGTCAGAGTTGATGGTGATGCAGGTCCGAATGGGGATGTACTACGTTCGACAGCCAAAGGAATGCGACGAGCCAACAGACCATACGCGAGGGGCAGACTCTTACCGTGAGATTTCACTATTGCAAGAGAGTTGCCATGAATGCAAATGTCGAACTGATCTTGATCGATATTGATGATATGTGTACTGGGATGTTCTTTCTGTGCGTGAATTTCAACATCCTGATCTACGTGATATACTGATGTCTTGGAAGTTGCAGATACGATTATCTTGGTAATGATGATGTATATCCAGGTTCAAACTCTCGATCGGTTGTTCCTGAAGTACACAAAACCCCTCCCAGGTACCAGGCGGCGTGCAGTCCCTGGTGGACATTCTCGAGCAGCTCGTGCTGCCAGCTTCACCCGAGTCGAAGTACCTGTGCGACAGCGTTCAGCTCGGCGCTGGACAAGGAACTCCAGCAGGCTTGAGACCTTCCCCCAGGCAGCCGTGCTGAGTCAACCAGGAACCTCGGGACCAACGCCAACGTGGGCTTTGTGAGGAGATTGGAGATCATGAGGGCCCGTGGGGATGTGGCCCAAGGGAGATCCAGGAAGATTCAGCAACCCCGTGCTGCGGGGGCCAATACGGTGTGGGTCCAGAGAGCGGGCCCGACAGCGTCGGCCCTGTGGGCTCCAGCATCATGGGAATTCCCACGACGCGTCTTCATGCCCTTCGTCCCGGAGTCCTCGAAAATCTCGACAAGGTCCCGAAGGGCATCGCGGTAGGCCTAAGGCTTCTCGGCTTCGAACATGGCCGCAGGGTTGACCCAGTCGTGCTGAGCATCGGGCAGGTTGTGTTCCAATGGGCTGCTGCTGCCTGTGAATCGCTTCCGGAGCCTCGCAAGTCTTGCCGATGTGCCCTGGAGGCGCGACCCAGAAGATCCAGAAGCTCAAGTCTCCCTGGTCGTCGGCGGCGTCTCCTGCAGGGGTTGCAGTGTTGAGCCTTCAGGGAGTTGGGTGCGAGCTTCGCTCGAGTAAGGCAGGTCTTTGTCGTGTCGACCCCAGCGTCGGTTCCTGAAACCGCGGGTATCGTTCAACCTTGAACGCTCGGCCGTTTACAAAACGCTGGATCGGTCAACGAGGGGCCGATTCTGGGTCTCCGGCGGCGTTCAACCTTGAACGCCGGCGAAAGGGTCGCCGCCGATCGGCACGACGCGAACCTACCGTGCAGTGCTGGCCACGGGCTCGGGCATGCTCTCTGCGATCTGCAGGAGGTGCCGCCAACGCCTTGGCCAGGGCGTTGGCGGTGGGGGGGGGGGGGGGACGACCGCCAAGCCCTACAGTAGGAGCTCGACCACAAGAGACCTTCCACGCGAAGCGCCCAACCCTGAGACCCACCCCAGGACGCCCATTCGACTTTTGGTGTGGGAACGTCGCGCTCTCTCAGGGGGGGGGGGAGCTTCGCTCGAGTACAGCAGTGCTGGCCACAGGCTCGGGCATGCCTTCTGCGCTTCCTGCAGGAGGTGCCGCCGACGCCCCCTTGGCCGAGCGGTGGGCGGCGGTGGGGGGGGGCGATCCGAGCCTCCGACCGCCAGGCCCTCGCGCCTTCGGAGAGGCCGCCGCTGCCTTGGGAGAAGGCGTCGAGGACCTCCCGCTGTTGGCGCAGGAAACGCCCATCCACAGGCGTTGCTTCGACGGTGCCGCGCCCAGACCCCCCATTTCAATGCTGCGTTCGCGGCCGTTGTCGGGGCGCGAGCATCGGCACAAAAAGACGCCCAAAACTCCACCGCCAAAGCAACCCCTTTTTCAACACTGAGATTGGGGGGCACGGGAGTTCTGAACACAGCAGCATCGTCCACGATGTCTGGTGGGCGCTTTTTACGCCAACGGTGGTCTCAGAAGGCGCGAAGGCTTCTCTCACTATCCTGCCAGGCTCACCGCCGAAAGACCGAACACAAAAACGTCGTGCAGATCTGAGTCACTATCTCCATCTTGGTCAGCGTCACTTCGTGGATCGTCCCCGCGAATCGGTGACGGCTGGCATTGACCATGACCAAGATCGACGTCGACAAGAACCTGCGGCGTCTTGATCATTCAATAGGAACTCGACCACAAGAGACCTTCCAGAAAGCCAACCCTGAGACCCCGGGACGTCCATTGATTTTTGGTGTGGGCACGTCACGCTTTCCATAGCAAAACCATCGAAAGCCATGGGTTTCTTGGGTGTCGATGGTTTTGCTTTGCAAAGCGTGACGTTCCCACACCAAAAATCTATGGACGTCCTGGGGTCTCAGGGTTGAGTTTCTCGTGGAAGGCTTCTTGTAACCCAGGGCACCCTGGAGGCAAGCAGAGTGTTTCTTGGCGTGGTTTTCCGCTGCATTCGCGCGCGATCCAGCGTCGCCATCGTGCAAACCGATCTTCTGGCGAGCTCTCGGGCCCTTGTTGCACTGTGTGTCCAAGAGGAGGTGCTGAACCAAGCGGCACCAGCGCACGCTGAGGTCGCGAATTTCAGGTGGTCACTGGCCGCAGATCAGGTCGAAGAAACACGGGCTGTCGGAGTCAGGATGTTGTCAGGGGTGTGGCCACCCAGACGGGTCCCTCTGGTGCGGATGTTGCGCGTGCCCCGCCATCACCAGCCTGATCAGCGACAGGGTTTCGGAGTTCCGTCGGGCCCGAGCGGTTCGGGTCAAGAGTGTGGCTTCGACGTGGGGGAGCGCTTCGCGCGAGGTATCTTCCTGAACCCTTTGGAGTTGCTGGAGGTCCCCGCGGAGGCCGAGCAGTCAATCCACTGGGTGAACAAACCTGAGTTAGGACATCCATCAGGTTCGCACCTGTCTTTCGGGTACGCAGGCATTCCCTGTTGCAAGCCGTTGTCGAGACTGTCAGCTCTCGAAGTCCTGTCGTCCTCGTGCTGTTCATGCTGCGGAGTTGTCAGCTCCGACGGAAGCCCACGCAGGGGCTTCGTGATGCGTGCAGCGGGGCCCTGGGGAAAGGGGGGACTGAGCAGCTCACACACCTGAAGCTGGGCCAATCCCCCCACTGCAGGAGAGGGGCAAAGGATCTGCGCCCCAGTCGGGCACACGGTGTGCTGCCCGCTGCCCGCCTGGCGCTGCAGGAGGGGGCGGCCGCCCGGCCAGCCCCGCCGCCGCCGCCGCCGAGTCTGTCTCAGTCCCAGGGTGGGAAGGGCGGCGTGCTCCGAGCGTGTGGCCTCACAGCCGGCGATCGTACACGTGTGCAGGGCATGGGTCGACGAGCGACGCAGAGGGCTTCTGCAGGATCGGACATCGGCTTCGATGTCGAATCACGGGGGGCCACGAGTAAGCCTTGTTGTTACCGCCTGTAGGGTCAACCCAAGCCAAGACACGCTTGCACGTAGTCCTCTACTCCTCCTCCTCCTCCTCCTCCTCCTCCTACTCCTCCTCCTCCTCCTCCTCCTCCTCCTCCTCCGCCTCCTCCCCCTCCTCCTCCTTCTCCTCCGCCTCCTCTTCTTCGTCCTTCTCCTTCTCGTCCTCCTCCTCCTCCTACTCCTCCACCTCCTACTCCTCCACCTCCTCCTCCTCGTCATCATCAGCATCATCATCACCATCGCCGCCACCATAATCCTCAGCACCACCACATTATTCCCCATCATCACCATCCCCACCACCACCACCACCAACAACAACAACAACAACAACAACAACAACAACAACAACAACAACAACATCATCATCATCATCATCATCATCATCATCATCATCAGCATCAGCATCATCATCATCATCATCATCATCAGCAGCATCATCATCATCACCATCATCATCATCATCATCATCATCAGCATCAGCATCATCATCATCATCATCATCATCATCACCATCATCATCATCATCATCAACATCATCATCATCACCATCATAACCATCGTCAGCATCATCAGCATCATCATCAGCATCATCAGCAGCGCCATCATCAACATCAGCAGCAGAAGCATCTTCAGCATCAGCATCAGCATCAGCATCAGCATCAGCATCATAATCATAATCAGCATAATCGTTTTCATCATCAGCATCATCAGCAACAGCAGCAGCATCATCAGCATCATCAGCATCATCATCAGCATCATCATCATCATCAGCAGCAGAAGCATCATCAGCACCAGCATCAGCATCAGCAGCAGTAGCATCATCAGCATCAGCAGCAGTATCAGCATCAGCAGCAGCAGCAGCATCATCACCATCATCATCAATATCATCAGCAGCATCACCATCACCATAGAAGCATCTCAGAATCATCATCGTCATCATCATCATCATCATCACCATCACATCATCATCGTCATCAGCAGCATCATCATCAGCATCATCATCAGCATCATCAGCATCACCATCATCATCAGAATCATCATCAGCATCATCAGCAGCAGAAGCATCATCAGCACCAGCATCAGCATCAGCAGCAGCATCATCAGCATCGGCAGCAGCATCAGCAGCAGCATCATCACCATCATCATCATCATCAGCAGCAGTTGCATCACCATCACCATAAAAGCATCCCAGAATCATCATCATCATCATCAGCATCAGCAGCATCATCATCATCACCATCACCATCACCATCACCATCATCGTCATCGTCATCAACAGCAGCATCATCAGCATCATCGCCAAAAACAGCCGAGATCCACTGCATGGGGGGGGGAGCGGGGTCCAAGGGCCCTCGCCGATCGGCAAACCAATGAATAAGAAAACGGTTACTATCCCTCCTCACGTTGCCCCTGACCTGCCCCCCCCCCGGCCCCTCCCTCCCCATCCCTCATTCCGGCAACGCCCGCGGGCCTGCGACTGGGCATGCATGTCCTCGCTGCTGACGGCCCTGCGGAAGGGGAAGCGGTCCATTTTTGATTCTCTCTCTCTCTTTCTTTCTCTCTCTCTCTCGCTCTCTCTCTCTCTCTCTCCTTTCTCATCTCTCTATTTCTCTCTCGATTTATCTTTCTTTATGTTTCTCTCTTTCTCTCTCTCCCTCTCTGTCTCCCTCCCTCTCTATCTCTCTCACCTCTATAAATGCCCCGTATCCCCCCGCGTGAGTCCGGGGGCACTGGTGTTTTTTGCAAGCGAAGTGCGCCCCTGGCTGCGACCGTTTAGAAGGCCACGACTTGTCGCGTGCAGTTTTCCCGCCTCCTCCTCCTCCTCCCTCCTGATCCTCTACCTCCTCTTCCTCCTTCTCCTCCTCGCCTTCCCCCTCCTGCACCTCGCGCTTCTCTTCCTCGTCCTCACACTCGAGACGCGACGTCTCCGACCACACTGCCAACCACTGGGCTAGCTAAAATAAATTAAATAACTAAGGGCTAAAATTCGCCGGCCCAACGGGCCAGGGCGTGCTAAGATCTCCGGTAACTGGTTAACAGTATTAACAGTATTTCTAGTTCGCGCGCGCGGGGCGGCCCCTGGGGGTCCCCCGGCGAAAAGTACCCCGACCAACGCCCGGTCGCCGCCCGACCGCCGCCCGACCACCAAGTCTACTCAGAGATGGTTTTCCTTCTGGGTGCGGCCTCTCAGGCTCCCCAGAGCGCGCTCAGAGTGCCCCAAGAGGCCCCCAAGACTGCCCAAGAGGCCCCCGAGACGCCCAAAGAGCGCTCGAAGACGCCGAAGATGACCCCAAGACGGCCCAAAAGGCCCCCAAGACAGCCCAAGAGGCCTCCAAGACGCCCCAAGAGCCTTCCAAGAGGCCTCCGAAGAGAGCCCCAAGAGGCCAAAATCGTTGATTTTCATTGGTTTTTTCGATGTTTTTTGTGTTCTGGCTTTTTCGGCTTCCGGACGCTCCAAGACGGCCCAAGAGGCCCCCAAGACCGCTCCAAGACGGCCCACGAAGCTCCCAAGACGGCGCCGAAACGACCCAAGAGAGCCCTCAAGACGGCCCAAGTGCCGCCCAAGACGGACCAAGAGGCCCCAAGACGGGCCCAAGAGGGACTCAGGAGGGATACCGAGAACTCAAAAATGGAGCCCTCCGTCCCAGAAGGCGCCCAGGAGGTCCCAAAGAGGCCCCAAGAGGCCTCCAAGAGGCCCCAAGATGTCGCCAAGAGGCCCCAGGAGACTCCCAGGAGGCCCAAAAGAAGCCCCAGAAGGCTTCAAACATGTCTCCCAGGCGCCCCCGAACGGCCTCTCAACAGACCCCAAGAGGCCCCCCAAAGAAGCATCTTGACGACGACTCTATTTCGCCCCATCGAGAGACGACCCCCAGGGAACTGCTTCACCATCAAAACTCCCCACGCAACGCGTCCGAACGACACCCGCCCCCAAGAGCGCAACATGGGCAACGAACACACAGACAAAAACCAGCGATGCCATATCACGGGCCGGCGGAATGAGCGAAGCGATTCAATAACTAAGGGCTAAAATGCTCCGGCGAATCTCCGGGACATCCTCGTCCTGCGAATTCACGACCCCGGTCGACGTTTTCCTATGTCCGGTCGCCCGAGAGTTTCTAGTGCTTGTCTATTGACTGTGTAATCTCGCCACCATGTGTCTGCATTCCCGTTTGTCGTTTTCGTCTTCCCGGCGGGCCTCCGGGGCGCGCAGCTGTAAAACCGGGCACGCGCGGGCTAGAAGTGGGCTACGAGTGGACTAAACGTGGATTCAAAGTGAGCTAAAAGTGGATTCAAAGTGGATTCAAAGTGGGCCAAAAGTGGGCCAGAAGTGGGCTAGAAGTGGTCTAAGAGTGGGCTAAAAGTGGAGTCAAAGTGAGCTAAAAGTGGATTCAAAGTGGGCTAGAAGTGGATTCAAAATGGGCCAAAAGTGGGCCAGAAGTGGGCTAGAAGTGGGCTGAAAGTGGGAAAAGAGGAGGAGGAGGAGGAGGAGGAGGAGGAGGAGTGGCTGGCCAATGCCCGCTGAAAAGTAACATGGTACGCATATGCACTTGCCCCCGCGCCCCTACGCGCACACAGTATAACAGCGCGGGCACCACAGATGCACCAGGGCGCTGCGCCCTCGCAACGATAACAACTTTGCCTTCGCCACATGGGCCACACAAGTGCGAAAACATAAACCTGGGAGCCTAAAACCTAAGATAGGCAGGTGGCCAAAACGGCACACGGGAATACGGTTTCGGCAGACGGAGATACCTAACTGCGTCGAGCCTCAAACCCGAGCCTCTACAAATCGCATGAGACGCGAAGGCAAGACGAGGAAGGAGGCAAATGTGAAACGGGAGTCGCAGGAAAGCCACGAGCAGGAGAGAGAGCAAAGAAAGCGACGGATGGGGGAAACGGAAACGCACTCTGGGGAACGGGAGGGGAAGGCGAACTTGAAAAATAATGGACTTGAATTAAAAAGAGACTGTTTTGTAAGTCGGCTCTGGAGGCCCCCCAAAGCACCAAAGATCGCCCCAAGAGGCTTCCAAGAGTACACCACGAGCTCTGGGGAAGCTCTCGAGAGGCCACAAATACTGCAAAACGAATGAACATTGGCGATTCTTAAATCCTGCACTTCCGCCTACGACGCGCTTCCGAAACTTGCGCGTGCCCCCGCAAGCCGCTCGGGACGCCCCTTGGGGGCATCGTGAAGTTTTCCTGGGGCCTCTTGGGAGCTCTTGAGGGCCTCCCGGGGCCCTCTTCGGCGCTGGGGCCTCCGGGACGGCTCCTGGGAGCTCGTTGGGGCCTGCTCGGAGCATCTTTGGGGCCTCGGCGGGGCCCCTTCGGGCGTCACGGGAGCCCCTTGTGGACTCTTGGGGACATTTCGCGCCTTTCCAGACGATTCTTGGGGCCTCTGGGAGCTTTCTTGAGGGGGCTTGCGCAAGCCTCGGAAACGCGTCGGAGGCGGACGTGCGATAAAACAAAAAAACATTGATTCCCGCTTCGGTGTTTCAATTGTTTAGGCATCTCGACTGCTTCCACGAAGCTCTTGGATAAGTCTTTGAAGCCTCTTGGGGCGATCTTGCTACTGGCGGCTTCCAGGGCCGTCGGGGGTTCGCTTAGACAGCCTTGGAGCACTCTCGGGCTGTCTCGGGAGCATCCTGAGCCGTCTTCGGGCCTCCCGGGAGCTCATGTGGACGCCCAGGAGGGCGGCACCTGGGATTTGCCAGAAATGCGGGCGGAGCGTGCTGAGCCCAGAGGATTTCTATAAATGTTTATATATATATATATATATATATATATATATATATATATATATACATCGGAGGTGAGGGGGTGAGATCGAAGTGGAACGGAGAGCCCCCCTACCGGGAAATCGATTTCGGTTTCGTGTTCGTGCGTGCCGTGCGGCGGGCGAGGCGAAGCTGCGTGGGCGGGCGAGAAAAGTCTCCTGTGGCTGAGGCGCGGCCGGACCAAATGTCTCCCTTCCGGGCGGCCGGTGGCCCGCGGTGTCCCGCCGGTGTCCCGCGAAAGTCCCGTGTGGCTGAGGCGCGGCCGGACCAAATGATTCCCTTCCGGGCGGCCGGTGGCCCGCGGTGTCCCGCCGGTGTCCCGCGGTGTCCCGCGGTGTCCCGCGGTGTCCCGCGCGCGGTGTCCCGCCGGTGTCCCGCGGTGTCCCGCGACGATGATGATGATGATGATGATGATGATGATGATGATGATGATGATGATGATGATGATGATGATGATGATGATGATGATGATCATGATCATGATGATCATGATGATGATGATGATGATGATGATGATGGTGATGCTGATGATGATGATGACGATGATGATGATGATATGAGGAAGATGGTGTCCCGATGATGATGATGATGATGCTGCTGCTGATGATGATGATGATGATGACGATGATGATGATGATGCTGATGGTGTCCCGATGATGATGATCATGATGATGATGATGATGATGTTGATGATCATGATGATGACGATGATGGTGTCCCGATGATGATGAGTATGATGATGTTGATGTTGATGATGCTGATTATGATTGTGTCCCGATGATGATGATGATGATGTTGATGATGATGAGGTTGATGATGATTATGGCGTCCCGATGATGATGATTATTATGGTGGTGATGATGATGATGTTGATGATGATGGCGTCCCGATGGTGATGATGATGATTGTGATGATGATGATGTTGATGCTGCTGTTGGTAATGATGATGATGGTGCCCAGATGATGACGATGATGATGATGCTGATGATGATGTTGATGATGCTGATGATGATGATGTCGATGATGAGGATGAGATGATGATGGTGGTGTCCCGATGATGATGATGATGATAACGATGGTGATCATGATGGTGTCCCGATGATGATGCTGCTGATGATGATGATGATGACGATGACTGTGTCCCGATGTTGCTGATGATGATGATGCTGATGATGATGATTGTGATGATGGTGATGGTGATGATGATGGTGGTGTCCCGATGATGTTGATGACCGTGATGATGATGATGATGTTGGTGTTGATGATGAGGACGGTGTCCCGATTATGATGATGTTGGTGATGATGATGTTGATGTTGATGTTGATGATGATGATGATGACGTTGATTGTGAGAGCGGTTGTGATATCGATAGTGAGATCGATAGTGAGACCGAATGTGATATCGAGTGTGAGATCGATTGTGAGATCGACTGTGAGATCGATAGTCAGATCAATTGTGAGATAGATCGAGTGAGATCGATAGTGAGACAGATCGAGGGAGATCGATCGAGCGAGACCGATACTGAGATCGATAGTGAGATCGATAGTGAGACAGATCGAGTGAGACGTTGGTTCCTCCCCCTCCCCGAACCTCCTTATCACCCGAAGGGTGGTCGTATAGGTACATACATAATCACAATGATTGTATATAATAGCATGTGTACCTTCGTTTGCACATATACCAATATTCTTATTATTGTTAGTATTATTACTACCACTATTATATTATTATTA